TTATATATTTTCTGTATTTCTCGTATTATTTTAGGGAGTTTTTACATAGGGTTCACCTCATAACTTCCTTTTCGAGACGCCTTTTCTTTTTTTATTTGTTGTTTTTATATGTATACTAATGTAACTTTGCGTCTTGAATAAAGAATGTATGTATGTATGTGGGAAAGACTTAAATTGTGTAAGGACTTAAGAGAGAACAAGTGCTTACTTTTTTGTATCGCCTTTTTTGCCTCCAAACAGCAAGTGTTTGATGATAAATCCTTGAACAGCTGCGAGCACACCACAAGGTCCACCCTGTAAAAAAGAGACTGTATGTGTCAAGATTGTGCATACTTTGCATTTCAATACAAATTATAACACATAACTGCCACATACAATACTGTAGTAAAATGGTTAAGTCTGCATCAGGCCAGTGGTCCATACAACTGTGAGAGAAAAATGTCTTGCCCAAGAACACAACACAATAACCCTGACCAGGGCTCAAGCCCTGACCTATCGGTCTAAAGTCCAGCACACTAGCCAGTCGGCGACCGCCCTTCCACAATAGTAATACCATCAAACCAAACTTAGATTAGCTGAAGTTTGTCTGATCCATTAAGAGAGATTAGCAGTGTTCCCTTGTGCTTTTACTCACAGTGCCCTTGCCATTAACCAAAGCCTTTCCACCAGAGAGTATAATGCTTAGGCCAGATGACGATTGCACCCACCATTTTGTTACCATTTCTTCGTGTAGAATTAGCAAATACAATGTACATTAAATTACTCATTAACTTCCAAAGCACTAATTCACCTTAAGTTGTACAATTCCATATTCCAATCGATACAGATCACAGAATGAAAAACTTTGATTCCTCCATTCAGGTGTAAAGCTTGTTGTAGCAGTTCCAAAGATGAGGTTTTTTAAGCCCTGGTAGTTAATAAAAGACAGAAGGTTCTAGTTTAATATGCAGCTGTGATATTTCTGAAAGTGGCTGTCTTGGGGAAGAAGGGTTCTAAACTTCCCCTTAAGGACTTCCCCCATGTTTTTCTTACAATTGCATTAAATATTGTATCTCTTTTTCTCAACAACAATAATCTTGGAATTCCACTAACTACCCTCTCTTCTCCCACCCTCTATAGAGTTCCCACCCCTTCAACTTCCAGGCTCCCGAACTCCTACCCCTACCCTCCATATACATACACATTATCACGATATCTTACCATTGCAACTTCAAGAGATATGGGTTTACTCTGAACATCAGCTGAGGCAATTTTCTTTGGACCTTAAAATAAGTTGCATCATTGTTAGACAATGTTCCTTACACACATTAAATTTACTGTCCGAAACATATTCAGTTGAGTAAACCTACTTACAAGTAACATTATGAATCAACACTAATGTCTTATCATGTTTAATACAGTAACTATAATAGTTAGCTCAAAGTTGAATATGATATACCAGGAAACTCCTCCCAGAAGATATCTGTCTTTTCTAATAAAAAAAAAAACCTTTGAAACTGTAAAGCCAAGGGTTCAGTACAACATTCACAAAATCTACTCAGTGTACCTAATGACAGCTGTCCAAGTTCTTGATCAAAGTCCTCGTCAACGTCTTCAAACACTAGATCACTACTTCTAGACTGGAAATATATAATAAAAAGAACTATAAAAATGAGACCATGGAAACATGTACTAACTGACATCATTTGAAATAAAATTAATTATTTTTCCTTTTTCCAGTGGGGCGCAGGCAACATAACTGCTGAAAATATTTCACCCCTAACCCTCCAGCATGTCAATGAGAAGCATTACACCTAAAGATCTGACCTGGGTTGTTCAAAAGGTGGATAACACAATCCACCAGATAAATCACTATCCACTGGATAGCGTGGTTTGTTTTGTTAACATTTGTACCTCTTGGATCTTGATACCCAACTGCTCTGAACCCAACAATAGGTTCCACTACCTCCCAAATGATAGCAAGGAAAATTCAACTCAATAGCTGTTATTGCAGTTGAGTCTGCGGTCAAATATTCTTTTGTTGTAAAAGGCACGCAAACGAGGCGGAAGGGTCAATACAATGCAGAATTGACCCTTTCGCCTCCATTGTATGTCAAGCCACTGATAACTGCAATAACAGCTATTCTCAAAGGATTGTGCCTTGTCAGTCTGATGTAGTGTTTATCCAGTGTTGTATTACACTGCATTGTACATTTTTTACACATTAATAATTACCTTTTGAGACCTGGAATTGGAGACAGGTTGGTTTCTGTAAAAAATAATAACTATTATTATTATAAAAAATAAAACAGGGAATTTACAAACTACTCTCAGTGACATCACTATAAATTATTAAAGTTCAATAATCAACTAACATTAATCACTATCAGTACAATTAATTTCAGCATTAAATTTATTTGCCTACTCTTAAACAGAAAAGATTATCCATGAAAGAATGTTCATCAAGAAATACTCAGAAAGTACTAAAATAGCAGAAAGTCTTCCAAAATCTTAGCAAAATAATGTAACAACAGCAGATAAGAAATGTCTCAAGGACCTCCAAAAAACATACAGAGTGTAGCTGAAGCTTTTAAAACTTAATAATAATTTCAAAAAAGGTTGGTGTGAAGTATTGTAACTATAAAAAACTTCATGAAAAATGTTCATCGAACCTTGTTGAACTTTTGTGAGATGCGCTTTTCCTAGACTGTTTGGGAGAAACCTCTGCTCTGAAAATAATGATATCATAGTAGTCTTAACAGTAAAATGGTTCAGAATTCCTAATAATTATTGTAAAATTAGAACTTTACAGTGAACGTCCACGTATCCATACAAACGAAAAGAACTTTCTAGAAAGAAGTAAACATGGAAGGAAAGTAAGAGAACTGAGAATGAAGGAAGAAAGGAAAAAACGAAGGAAAAAAGCAGGATGAACGGAAGGAAGGAAGGAAGGAAGGAAGGAAGGAATGAATGATGACAGACAGACAGACAGACAGACAAACAAACAGACAGAGGAATCGAGTAGAGAAAGGGAGGGGCGGAAAGAAACAGGGAGGAAGGGAGAGAGAAAGGGAAGAAAGAAGGAAGGAACAGAGTAAGAACGGAAAAGGGGCCATTTACTTACAGTTGGTGCCGATCTTTCCCAATTTGATCAAGAGGAACATCATATACATTATGACGTGTGTCAACCTAACAAAAATCAAAAGTGAAAAATCAAACCTAAAACCATATTAACTGTCAGGGTTCAAAAAATGTGTCGTTTTGTCGTCCAGGACGAGTAGATTTTTCCACTGAGCAAGTAACTTTTTATTCTCACTTGCCCAATGGGCCTGTGTTTCCATCAAGTTATATACAGTAGACACATGATTTTTAACCAATCAGCATGCATATTTTCTTTGGGCTATTTTCTAAAACTTAATATATAGAGCTATTTTCTGTTTTCTATACGGCTATTTTCTAAATATATATACAGCTTTATATACTTACATCATCATCTTGTGTATCCAACTTTGGAGTTTGTGCAACACCCAATTCCTTGCTCTGATCTTCATCCCCAAACAAACTTCCAATGCTTTTAGCTCCTAAGCTGCTGCTTAGCCTTCCAGTACTATGCCGGGACCTAGGGTCTCTTTTACCAGCAAGCCCAGAGCTAATAACTGGCCCACCAATAGTATTATTAAGTCTTCTTTTACTCTTAAGTTTTGCCATCGAATCACTTGATGATGCAGGTGCTGCTGTAGTTGATGATTCTACAAAATCACCAGAGTCTTTCGTAATTGGTACATGTTTACTTCCTTCACTTGCACTGACTTTTGTTCTTAAGTCATTACTAAGTGAACTTGGTTTAGTCGTTGGAACATTCCGTGCAGGTTTTTCGAGCCGCTTCAAAAGATCATCATAATCCTTTCTATCATCCTTTTCTTCCTGTTTTTCAAGCTCATTAATGAGATCACTGTTTGTTGGCTGTGCAGTGGTTCTGCTTCTTGTATCCTTTTTGGTTTCTCTAAAATTTTAAGAGGTAAAACTGATTTAGCAATCTACTGTTAGCTCTTTTACACCAATTAGTTAGTCCTCTCCATGCCAGGAGGTGCATTAGGCTTTTCGACTCTTGCGCTCCAACCAGCCCTGTTTTGTGCTACGCGCCTAACTTTTTGTCCTAGCTGGCCCATCCCTTCACATCAATTAACAGGATATGTTTTGAGTCTCAGTGGTTGAAATATTAGACTATAACCATCAATGAACACATAGCTACATGTACAGTCTTAAGGTCTAATTTCTTGTGGTACCAGGTGGTTCTATCTTTGACATCTGTTGATGAAACCCTTGTGTCTTACCATTCAAACAAATCCGACATGTCACTATTTGCAACTATATTGCCTTACAGGTGGCTCTACGATTTCAAGACTATTGACGAAAACCTAGTGGGCCATAACTGATCAAATGGATTAGAGCTACACATAAATGTAAATGTAGTATATACATGTATAGTGGATTCTGTTTGTAATGCAAAATGGGAATTCAAGACTTTAAAAACATACTACAGGGCTAAAAAAAAAAATACTTATATTCTAGCTTGCCCTTTGGACAAGCAGTTCTCAAATTGTGGTGACTTGAATGCCCAGCTGGGCAATTGAGAAAGAAAAGTTCCATGCCCAGCAGGAAAGCCTCCCTGTCCAAGATAACTGCACAGCACTTTTTTTCAAGCCCAGCACTAGATAACTTTTTGGGGAGTTAATTTAGGGTTAAAAGCAGGGTTGTCAAAAGTAGCTGGCAAAAATCACTATCTACTTTGTAACTGCCAGTTACTCAGTTACCTACTATTGGTCCAATTCTTTAGAAAAAGATGCCAAAATCAGCTACAGGTCTGCTTCAACAATGGCAATTCCTTCCACGAGACACACCTCCAGGGAATCATTGTATTCATCAATTGAAAACAAATATCCAGTCCAAAATGATGAATACAACCACCGTAATTCTCTGCAGGGAAATCTCAAAGAGGGAACTGGCCATTATGCCATCTATATGTACCTCAAAAATTTATAACAACTGTGTTAAAGGAGCTCAGTCACGATATTTTAAGTTATNTTATAAACGACAAATTTGAAAAATTGAAGCTAAACTTTTCAAACCACGACTGAGCCCCTTTAAAGGCTCATTTGAAAGTGTGTTGACACACTTTCAAATATTTATTATTATACATGATGTGATACCTTGATGACTTAGGTTTTTGATTTGTTCGGTCTGTTCCTGAAGACGACAGAGATCTAAGGTCGCCTTGCTCTTTCATGAACTTAACCATGACCTCCAACATTGTGCGAAATGGTTCAGGTAGTTCCTACACAAGAAGACAAAAACTGTTGTTGATGATTTTGAATATTACAATATTCATTCTAAAATCTAGCTTTCTTTTACTTTGACAGAGACAATCAGACAATAAAAACCACTGACATTTTTATAAATGCAAATTTTGCATTATAGGCTGACACTTTTTCACCCCAAGTCTTGCACAACAATAATATTCTACATAAAGAAAACTAAAGAAAATGAATAACAAAGAGGCATACACTGTAGGCATGCCTATATACAGATGCAGATGTACACGTCACAAATCGCATATACAGTTGAACCCCACAATTTCAAACTCTTAGGGGAATTGAAAAGTAGTTCAAAATAGTGGAAGTTCAATATAGCTAATAGTAAATAACTGAAGAACAAATCCAAGAGAAACAGTTTTGAGTTTGACATAACAGGGAATACAAAGTAACCAAGTTCGAATTACCAAGGTCTGCCTGTAATACACAAAAACAGCCATGTACAGCATAGATTACATATGTGTAATCTGCTTATTTTTTAGATGCCCTCTACATGTAGGTATTGCAAATAATTGTATCTAGCAGAAATGCTGGGGAATTAAGATCAAAACAAATAAGAAAAAAATACTTTGCAAATATTTGATACATGTGTGGGTAAATAATCATTTAAAAAAGTAAACAACTGTAAAAAAAAAAAAGCGACTTGATGTTGTATTGGATATTTTGTTGGTCACTGAATTTAATTTGACAACCCTTGTGGAAGCCACTAGCAGAGTCACATCGAATAAAGGAGAAATTTACATACCTTATTCTTCTTCATAAGTTTCTCAATGTGCATTTCTTTGGCAAGCTGGGCACGGTTGCTTATGCTAAAAAAATAAGTTAAATATTGTTTATTATTATTGTTAAATATTGTTTAAAGAATCTTTTACAGTCCGTCTTAGAATGTCAATGACTGTCAACATTAATGCACAGTCTTATATGTACATCATACTTCACATGTTGAATAGTGTTTGAATATGGCCACCTTGTTTTCTTATAACCATCTCCTTATTACAGCCACTTTATTTTGGCCCAAACAAAATCTCAGTCAGTCATTTTCTTATTTCAAAACCCCTGTTAATAAGCCCACCCCACTAGTACAGCCAGATTTTTGTGGCCCATTGGTGACGGGATTAACGGGGTTCCACTGTAGTTTCATCTGTCAGAGTGTATTTGTCATCGTTACTTCTAGGCTAGAAGCCTGACACAGTCAACCTTCAAGCTGCTATAATCTGAATGCATTTGAGAGGGAAGGAAGAAGGAAGGAAAGAAACAGAACATGATAAAACTATCAATGTTAACTTTTAAATCAAAACACAGTTGTATTTCAATCTTAAAGAGACTCAGAAGTAAAAAATACAAAATACAAACTGCATGTACATACCTATCCTCACTTCGTGGCATCTCTTTATCAAGGGTTTGAAGTGTGCCCTTTAACCCCTGATAATACAAAAAGAAAGGTTTTAGCCAAGAGTCTATTGTTAGGTAAACATATTTACTCCAACCAAATCTTGTCAGCTTAGAGAGGGAGCAAACATACATAGAGCTGTCAATATGGGCCGTAACTCATAGCACTTATTGCAGCTGAGTATGCTTGATTTTCCCTTGATGCTACGGGTGAAATTGCCTGTTATTGATAGAATTCACCCATAAAGTAACAAATTTGCTATGGGTGTGGGAAATACTGTAAGTCTACAGGTGACTAAAAACTTAATGACAGCCCTGATACAGGCATATCTTGATAAGGACATGTAGATAACTTGAGAATGCCAAGGGGTCTTTGTCAATACTAAGATCAGCAGTTCACTTGGTGTAATTTGCAATATTATAAAGCGACAACAATAGCATCAGTTGTACCATTCACTAAGGTTTGGGTTTTAGCAATTTGACCAAAAGTCAAAGGTAGAAGCATACGATAATGGCAATTCCAAGAAAAATTAATTTTTGGAAACTGAAATTCTAAGTGCAAGCAAGAACTGATGATAACAAAAAACAGACATAATACTTTAGCTCTTATTGACAAAACCCTTGACAGAAAGTCTGTTACATAGCTGCAGTACAGTCACTGTGGTGTCTTTTGTGGCCAAGCGCTGGTTAATTTTGTTTGCATATATATCTGATGGCCATTGTGAAGTTGTAAAACATAGAGGAATGTGATAAGAGATCTAGAACGAGGGCAGGAAGAAGCACCTTCACCCTTTGGCCACACTGCTTCTCCCTGGGCTGCTTTTTGCTGCTCATCCCAAGCCTCTATGTTCTGATTTGAAGATAGAGCTTCCTTGTTTAAAATAAACTAGCTTATTGCAGATTAATAGCCTTTAATGGTGTCACACCATCATAATGGTCTTACCATAAAAGCCAGATTATCACCTACAAATCTAAGATCATTTTTGTCACATTATACAGTGAGCAAAGGCAATTTTACCCTGCAAGCAGAGCTGCTTCAATCTTTCCAAGATAAGTTGCAAAAGACGATCTAGGAAAGATCGAGGCAGCTCTGCTAGCAGGCTACTAGGCGATTTGGAGAACGAACCATTTGCATCCTCATAAATTTTTAAATTAAAGGCAACTAGCTTAGCCAAATTCCATCCAAAAAAGCAGGCACCAAGATTATCCTAGATATACGACATTACCAATGATGATTTTATGTCCATGCATATTTAATACATGTTAAGTAGTTAAGCAGTACATTTTGCCGTAGAAGCAAACAACCTTGGCCTTTAGTTAATTAAGGGTAAGCTTATATTTACTCATTTCACCTGGCTTCTCAATTGAATAGAATATCAAAGATGATCAAGATATGGCTGAGTAAGAAAATGGCTTACACGGTAAACGTAGATCGTTGTATTCTTTATTCGACAATAAAGCTTCAAACCTACCTTTCTGCTGAGGTATTCCCTTACAAGAGAAGCCGTCAGCGAAATGACAGAATCGGCCATGTTGTCGCTGAAGTCGACGATTCAAACAGCTACATGTAACAGAGAAGTGTTTTCTCCTGGCAAGTGAAGCTTCAGAAACTAGTGTTTGGGCTTTATATTTCGGACGCCTTGATCTCCAGTCATCATTTCGCAGACATGGAGCATTTAAGCCTATATTGAATCACCATAGCAATACAGTCCAAGCAAATACACACACCAAAATTCTGTTTTTGTCTTGAAACCCTTTGTAAACCAACCACTGAAAATCCACTCCCGAGGACGTTATTGATCTTATCCACTCAGGTTTTTCTCTTTATCTCTCGACTAGCGTTAAAACCGTCTGTTAAACACTGACGACAGAGTGCGACAGGGTGAGTTATTTTGCGAGTTTTTTAAAATCGTCTTCCACTATAAACATAGAGACGGCCGCCATTTTGTTGAATTTCGTTCCAGTCTTCTGCTCTGAGCAGATTTAACGCGATAAAAGCCCTGGGGATACTGTGAATGACTTTTGGCGGGAAACATTCGGTGCGGGGATCCGGGCCTAGAGCCCGTTTCTCGAAA